CACTAGCATGAGGTATACTTGGACATGTACAATAACTTCTCAACTTTCACTTATTTTCTTTTTTCTAACAAAAGGGTACACATCTTACAACACTATCATGTGTTGGGGGAGAAATTGAGCCCAATTTAGAGTTGATGGGTCTTAAACAAAAGTTAGGAATTAATTTTAACCCAAAAACTATCGCTATTAGGTATTGACCCAAACTCTTATTTAAACTCTTCACTCTTTCTTATCTTATCCGACGTGGGACTATACTCACATATTAATCACCTCAATAACTCTTCCTTAATTTGTGAGTATATTTCAATTCAACTATAATTCAATCTTCCACGTAATTCACTAAGTTTTTGCACCACTTCACTCGTGGGCTAACCACTTCACTTGTGAGCTAACCAGATCATGCATTCAGCACATACCTATCAAATATCCGTAGGAACTTCCACCACTTCACTCATGGTGGCTAACTAGACTATATCTCTCCCACCACTTCACTCATCGTGGTTAACTAGATTATATCACTCATATCAGCATCCGTAGATCCTCCCGACACCTTCGGGTTTCACATCAAAGATCATATATATTTTTTAAATTACTTGGACCATGATCTTAGCTTTGATACCATTTGTTGGGGGAGAAATCGGGCCCAATCTAGAGTTAATGAGTCTTAAACAAAAGTTAGGAATCAATTTTAACCCAAAAGCTATAACTATCAGGTATTGATCTAAACACCTATTTAAACTCATCACTTTTTCTTATCTTATCTGATGTGAGACTATACTCACATATTAATCACCTCAACATCATGAACTTAGAAATTTTGCACAAAACTACCATAAACTTTACTGCCCAGCATAAACCCGAAAATATCTCTACAGGTTGAATCCTGTAGGAAGCCCGACTAACTTAAAGACGCAACTAATTAATAGCTGTGGTCGCCTTCTGTTGGTGGCCTTCTATTTCATCATTTCCTGGAAGAAAGAAATTATTATAGATACTTTATTGGAGTTAGGTAATTTCTGAACTAGAAAACTTAGAAATTCAAAAATAGTTCTTGCTCACTCCATTGTATTTTCTTCACATATGTATATTCAATGACTTAAACCGATAAACAGAAGATATACTCCATTCTTCAATTCTCTTAGCATGCATCCACTGATATATCTGGTACGATCTCCAGTTACGGCCGGTTTCGAGGTAAATGTATACTCATTATTGTTGGGGATTCGAAACAATCAAATCGATCCCTTGCCCTTCCGGACCTTGTGTTAAAAGTAGGAAAGTAGAAAAATTCACCACAAATAAAGATCAAAACTTACAGGAATAATAAAGGAGACGAACACACAGATTTAACGAGGTTCGGCAACGTGCCTACGTCCTCGGGAGCCACACCACACAATTCTTTTGAGTAATTGAAGAAGAAATACAAGCTCTCAAACTAAGATTTTATCTCTCTGAGATTCTCTCTCTTTTTCTGCTGTCAAAAGCTCTTTTTTGCATGTGTTACAAATCCCTAAAAATGTTTAGGTATATATAGAGTCCTGAAAGAAACAAAATCCAAAACAGTTTAGGAAACTGTTTGGGGCGGTCGCCCGCGCAGGTATCACGGTCGACTGCGGCGGTCGATCGAACCAAATTCCCGAGAGCAGAAAACATTACAGTGTTGGCGCAGTCGATCGTCACGATCGACCGAACTGATTCCCGAGACCAAAAATCCCTACAGGGTCCTCGCGGTCGACCGCCTTCAACTCCAGCTTATTCTCAGCTCTATGCACGTTCGTGGTCGACCGTGCATGCCTCCTGTTTTTCTTGATTTTCTCCCTCGTTTTGATTCCAGCTTCGGCTTCAACTTTGCGTCTACCCTTTAGACTAACAATTATGCAATCCCTTGAATATAATTTGGGCATTTTCGATCTTAGCCCCTTGAATCTTTGTGCTTTGAAATTAGTCCCTCAAGTCATCAAAATTGTCATTAGATCGTCAGTTCTTAGGTCATTCTGAAGTTAGTTTCTCAAATCCTTCAAATTGCTATTACGTCCTCTAATTCTCATTGTTTGTTTCAAATTTTTTTGAAGCAGAAAAACAGGGTGAGATACCCAGTTCAAATATATATTGATATAGAATTAAAGTCTAGAATATACAAAACATCCATAAAAACTATACAAAAATGGTAAGGATAGGAACCGAAGAAGATGTTATCGGAGGGGAGCGGACCCTAGTCGTCACCACCCTCCAGATAACAACTGTCGAGCTTCCTAGCCTACCAGAGATCACAAAAACGATAAAAGCTACAACAGAAGATGTAAAGGCTGCCAGAAAATAACCACCAGAAAGATAACACGGCAGTCATCTCCAAGCTAAACCTACTACTACACTATAACAAAAGAGCAGTGTATATCCAAGAGTTAATAGAAAAGTACACATCTGAAAATAAGACCACTAGATCTAGGAATTTAAAGAAACCGAGAGTTGGAAGTGGAAGTATCTGCCAAAAGCTAGTCTCCATAAGCAAAGTTTTCCCTAAGAACTTCTTCCTCGTTAGCTTTGGCCATGTCCTGCAGGCCCAATTCAACTGCAGCCCTATGGAGACGCTGGGCTTTTCTGCTGCTAGAAGCTCCTATCCAGAATAATGTAAAACGAGCTACGTTAGAGGCAATAGATAGAGGAGAAATAGGAGTTTTGTTGAGAATGCGGTTATTCCGACTGCTCCATATACACCAACAGAGGCATGGAAATAATACCCTCCATACATTCTTTGATTGAGGTTATCCAGGAATTTATCCTTATCAGAAATCATACTTAATATCTCCTTGGGCCATTGACTGAGATTAGAAGAAGGGAAGAGGATGGGCCAGGCCGCAGAAGATAATGAGCATGAAAAGAATAGATGGTCGTGAGTTTCCCTGCCCTGGTTGCAAAAAGGGCAAGAGGGATCACCTCTTCAACCCTTGTTTAACAGGTTGTCTTTAGTTTGGAGTTTCTTCTTACTCAGGATCCAAAGGAATATTTTGACCTTTAATGAACCAGGAGAATACCAAATAAAGTTATGAAGAGGAGAGACAATGCCTCCATTATTGAGAAGATAGTAGAAGGATTTCACGATGAAAGAGTTTGTTGAGTTGAATAGCCACTGAACAGAGTCTTGCATGTTTGATGAAGGCATGACTTGGTCAATAAGCAAATGAAGATTAGCAATGCCCCTTCTGTCTTCTTCAGTGATACCTTTTCTGAGAATTGGTTTCCATCTCCAGTGATTTTGATGCCATACACCCTGGGAGAAAACAGAACTTGAGGGAGATAAAGGCCAGTCTAAAAACCTTTGGAAAAAGACTGTATAGCGAATTGTCTCCTATCCATTTGTCTGTCCAAAATTTGCAAGTCTTACCAGAACCAATAACTCATCTTACAAAGTTAAAGAAGGTTGGGTGAATAGAATATAAATCACGGATGAACCTGGATGCATACCTCTTAGGGGTGTTTGTTTCAAATTAGTATTTCCAATTGCTACTTCTAATCAAGATTGGAGGGACTAATTTCAAAATAACTTACGAATTGGGGGATCTAATAGCAAGACTGGAGGGACTAATATAAAAATATGAAGGGTGAAGTTGATAACCCCCGTGTACAGTTAATTATTTGGGATCTATCCTTTTTTTTTTAGTCTACTTAAACAAATTAGTACAAATCAAGAAACAAATCGTAAGAAAATACTTCTCTTACTCCTTACGAATGCAGGGCGATATGGCAATCAGACTGCTATCAC